AAAATATCTACTATAAATTTATTTTAAACATAATGATTTCGACTGATCCTTTAACACATTCAAATAGAGAATAGTGACACTGACTATCTGAAGATTTTAGAATAAATGATTATTGATTAACAGGTTAGACATTGTTCTGTATGAGAATGATAAATAGGAAGATTCATTCAAGTGAATATATTTCTATTCACATAGCTAATGATGAGAGTGAATGATAAATTCGTTAAAGATGTATTTATACTAAAAGAAAGTTTACTCTAATTGTTTTTATGGTGTGATATTTTCGCATTATTTGAACAAATACATAAAGTCAATTGAAGTTGTTTAAGTTTTCTTTACAATTTTTTAAATTTTAATAGTTGAGATCATGAGTCAATTGAAGTTAGACCATCATGGAAAACCTGGAAGCACTGGACAGTCATTTCATCCTATTGTGGGACTCCTTAGTAGTTCAGCCTGCTCTGTTGTGAGATAGTAACTCACTGAAGACAATGGTGGATATGTCGTTTAATTCCGTGGATTAGTTGAAGTTAGACATTAACACCATTGGATGCTGGCTGGCTCAGTGTTCTAATGGTTAGGTCCTAGGTTCGAATCTCGCTGAGCGGGGTCTTGGAAGCGCACTGCCGAGGAGTTCCATACTAGGACGAAACGGCCGTCCAATGCTTGCAGGTTCTTCCATGGTTGTCTAGTTTCAATTGACTCATAATTTTAATTGTTAATTTTGTAAAATAATATTTTTCTGTATTTTATCAGCTTGATCTGATCAGAAGTCATCAGTTTGGAATATTATATTTCTACTGCCAATTAGGTCCATTCATATATGCCCTCTAAAATTAGTTCGTCTTAATGTTAACTTATCTAATTACAGTAGTCTTTTATTATATTCTTTCTTGATTACGAAAAATAATTGAATAGTCATTATTAAATCATTGTTAAACGAAGGTTTTGATAGTTCCGTTGTTACCGTTATACCAGACTCGATCGATTGAATTTGATTAGCACTGATTACAACAAATTATTACAACACTTTATTTTGAATTGATAAATTAATCTGTACGTTATTCTACTCGACAATTAATGAGTCTCGGGTTCTCTTCTTAAAGGACTCCTGGGTGCACTTCGTTAAGGAGTCTCATACTAAGAAGAAACAGATGTTTATTGCTTCCTGGTTTTCACTGGTTACCTATCCATAATTAGTCCTTGATATAAATCATAAAATTTATTATGTATTGTAATCTGTTGATTGCTTCTTTTATGAAAATAATGGTTTTCTGTGTTAATGAATTGCACGTTGAGTTTTACTCAGTTTTATTGCTCACTTCATATCTTGAATTGTATGACCTGTTTGTTTTTTCTACTCGTCCAGAACAATTTATTCTAGTTGTTGAAGATATAACACCACGGAATGAAGAGGAGAATGAAGAATTTCATGTGGATACGATTCCAGATCATATTTTGAGAACACCAGAACGTCTTTCACCGTTATTTATCAAGTTATGTTACATTTCAAGGGAATAATTTATTGAATGATTTTGAAATTTAGGGAAACGTATAACATTCTATTACAATATACATATGTGTTGTTATTCCATCTTACATTTTGAAATGAACGTTTAATGAAAGTGAATTTTGAGTATACAGAATGTGGCTAACAGTGGAATCTAGGATGCTCGTCTCGTTTTGTTTTGAATAAGTCAGTTGATTTTCACCTCAGGATTCGAGTTCATTATCTTTTGCTCTAAGCCCCAACGTGTTATCGGCTTAGTTACTTAGTCTAAATAGCCATTCACTTGTGCAGCTGATATGAATTTGAATTTAATTTGTAACCGTTTAAGTTATCTCTACGTTGACATTTGAGGCAATTAGGACTGATCAAATTTCAGTTAAAGTATCAACAACGAGGTAAACCAAAGCACTACAAATTCAACGTAAACTTACTTCATCTTCTAATTATGACATGAATAGTTAGGTTGAAAGTCAACTAATATCAATAATGTTGTAACATAATTTTGTCGACAATAATCTTACACATAAATAGTTTGAAGATGCTTAACATGCATTAAAATACTGATCATTCACCCCCTCCAAATAAAAAAGCGAATTCCTCGTAAGATAATGTGGTTCATATTTTACCATTAGTCCACTTCATAAAGTCACAGAATATTATTTTGAAGCACACATGGGCATGTGAACATTTTATCTAAAATTTCAAACATAATAGAAATAATGGGTTCAAGATCATGATATAATCTGGCTTGAAAGTGATTTTAATGTCTCACTGTTTATTTTTCTTTCAATCTGTAATATTTGTGCGACTATCTCATCCACTCAATTTGTTATAAAACTAATCAATAAACACACTAACAATCTTGCAAGAATACAAAACCGTGAAATCGTTATTCCGGTTAAAGAAAGTTTAGTGGCCCGTTATTTTGACGCCAGTTAGATCGGATGATGATGCCGACAGGTTCATCACTTTAGTGGCCCGAAGTTTGGCTACAATTTGATCGCGTAATTATCGTTATCGAATAAAATATGTAGCCAATCCTCGTAAATAATCATTGACTAAATTGTTCTGTTTGTAAGTTAGAATAAGTTATTTGGGCTTCATATAGTGCCAGCCACCACAAAAGTATTTGACCTGTTGTTAAACAATTGTTCCGTTGTACTATTTAAACTTGGATTAATTTTAATTCGGTTATTTATTCTCTGACGAATTGACTTACATTAAGTCACGAAACGTCAGAAAATCTAATTTTCTAAAACATTTTTCATATAGATTGTTATAGCTTGAAGAGAATTATCACTGTTAACTAGCATATCAGGTGAGTTAAAAATAAAGCAAAATGTTCAATACTTCAAGCATCTGATTACTAGTCAGTTCATTCGAACGCTCAACCACATAATTCAATGTTTTTGCCACTGACTTTATTTTTAAGTTGATTTACTTCACATTTTCCCATAAGAACTATGATAAGTTCAATTCATTTTGTATTGGTTGTTTGAATCTTCCCATTGATGTTTAAGACTTCAATTGATCAGTGGCTATCAGGACTCAATAGCTAAGTGAATAACACGACGGCATTTGAAGTGAACGGTACTGGGTTGGAATCCCGGATTGAAAATCAAATCTGGGATGAAGATACATCCAACTGGCCAGTCCCAAATAGGATGAAACGCGCGTCCTGGATTCTACAGCTAGCCACCATCTATATTTGCTTATAGTGTTTGTGAATTAAAGCAATATCAGGGAAATCCTCACAGGATGCACATATGCCAATTACAGACTAACCAATTGCAATCCTAAACATCAGTGCGAAGATTCAAACAAGCAATACAAAATGAACTAAAACTTCGCTACGTTACACAAGCTAGATTCAGTAGCTAACTAGATAACGTGATGGCATTAGAAGCAAGCAGTATTTTATTCGAGTCCCGGAGTGAATATTAAATCTGGGATGCAGATACATCCAACCGACAAGTCACAAGTGGGACGAAATGTGCATCGTTGATTTCACTGTTAGCCACTATCCTTCTTTGCGTATAATGTTAGATAAGTTCATCTTGAAGTAGATTGAATACTTGAATTATGATTGCTATTTACTAAAATGAATTGTGAAACCGATTCATAGTAACAAACTAATTTTAAAGTTAATAAATAATTCTGTGAATATATCTTCCAAATAACATCGTTAATTAAATTGAACAATAAACACGTTCGGTTTTATTTATTCTCTTATCTGATTTAAATAATTTACATTCATTCTGATATTTTCACATTATATAATTGTTATCAGAAGAGGGTTTTATGGAGATTTTAGTAGTTTTAATAGTTGAATCCATGAGCCAGTTGCAGCTAGACCATCATGGAAAACCTAGAGGCACTGGAAAACCGTTAAGTTTTGGTGTAGGACTCCTCATCTACGACCCCACCCCGCAGAATTGGTCGAAGTAAGACAATAACATTGCTGGATACCGGCTCAGTGATCTAGAGATTAGGAGTTCGCGCGCGAGACCGATAGGTCCTGGGTTTGAATCCTGAAGGAGCGGGATCGTCAGCTACAACGTAGAACCAGGCACATATATGCATCGGTCCAGGTCGCCATACCGCATTAGCACAGCAAGATGAACACCGGATTCATGGGAGTGGGTAGGTCAAAGGTGGTAATATATAGGAGAAAGATTGCATATAAGGATACGGTACAGGAAGAAAGAATTAGTTCGTAGAAAGAAAGATATGAAACAATTTAAATCTCATAGTTTAAAGATAGACAGAGAATGTATAAATCTACGCTGTGGTGTTCGATTCTGAGCCATGTCATCCAGAGTCTCCAATCATTGGTTACGATAGTCACGCGGACCCCAACCAAGTAGTCTGCATCTACCAAAATGGCTCAGACTAGAAGTTAGTGACTTTGTGGACTGATGCCACATTTAGGTTTGGCCAACCCTAACTTTATTCCAACCATCCCCAACACTATTCAGCATTGCGCGTTGTGACAATCGGTGTTCAGGCATACGTGACACGTGGCCCAACCATCTCAGTCGATGAAGATTCACAACCTCATCAACTGATTTGCCATCATTCCCAAATACTTTATGTCTAACCTCATTATTACTTACCTGGTGATCCCAGCAGATGCGAGCAATATTTCTATGACATCTGTGATCAAATACTAGTACCTTACGAGTATCTTCTACTCTTAATAGCCACGTTTCTCAGCCGTATAAGTATAACAGAAAAAACAATCGCGCCTTATACTCGTCCCTAAATTTAAGGAAAGATATATCACCTTAGCCATAGGTGATGTAAGTTGAAAAAAAGTCAAACGAACTTTCTGAATCAGGATCGTGAGCTGTTGCGTTCTAGAACAAAAACGGCCGTACATTACTTCTACGGTAGTTTAATTTTAATTGACTCATGAACTCAACTGTTATATAATTGTTTTAATTTTCTATTAATTTTATCAATCATTTAAGCCAAATAAAAATGTACATAAACTGTAAAATATATTTTATTTATTCAAACAGAACAGTTTAATACAATGTATATAATAAACATTTTGCTGGGAGGGGGGGGGTGTAGGTGGAAAAAAATAAAAGTTCCCATTATTCACAACGGAAATTTATAAAGTTATTTATTATTGATAAGATCAAATGTAGAAAATAATAAATCAATGTGGAAATTCTTTTTTCTTTTTTTTCTTTTTAAAAAAAAGAAAATTAAATCGATAATCTGTATTTGATATATATTAAAGAAAAGAAAACTTTTGTTTTTTTTTATATCTTCTTTATCAATTGTCCATATCTATTCAAAACCTGATGGATTATTTACAGATGACAATTGTGATTCATTTTTATTCAAGCTGAAATAAACAAACAGAAACAAAAAGAGAACAGAATTTAAAGTGAATGACAACAACAACGACAACAACAAGTTGAATAATAAATAGTGAATGAAAAAAATAGCATTTTACATGTTTATATTCTTTGTTTATTATTCGGTGACCTGTTTGAATATCTGAGCTATCTATTTCTTGTCATTTAGATATATTGAGAGGTTATCTGTTTTTTTCTCGTTTGTTTTATTACATCATTATGTCTATTAGTCGCATATAACTATTCGAGTGTGTTTGTGAAAAGTGTACAACATTTCACTGTAAAAGTTAGTAAAGAACACAATCAGAGACATCATAGTTGCTGGTATTATACATCGAAAAGAATGTACATTATTGAAATGTCGATTGACTGGTCTGCTAACATTTAACTGGTAGCCACTCAATATTTATTGCAAGGGTCGATCAAGAAATAAGAAAGGGAAACTCGCTGAAATACTTTGTGCTGAGAAGTCTATATTGTAGCAAATACATAATACTGAATAAAGCCATTAATAATAATAATAATTTCAGTGGCCCAAGATCTCACTCCAGTAATATCATATGATTGATTGTTATTGAAATATACATATCGGTAATCCTCGTATGTAACTATCGACTTAAATCACGTTAATGGATAATGGAACTAAATAAGTCCAATACGAGAATTAATTTTGAATATATATATATATATATATATATATATATATATATTGCACATTCGTTGGTCGGAAAGAGAAGTAGAACAAAATAACGTGAAGGACCTGATACATATGAAATTCACCACCACTCAATGATTAATCAATTGTACATACATCTCAGTCCTACAGGGGGTCGGTCGTGGCCCGAATAGCCCAGTGATAACGCTTCTGACTATGAAGCTGAATGTCACGGAATCGATTCCGTCAGGGAGTACCGATTTCCTTAAAGTCACAGGTACATCTTGCTGTCGAGTGCCAAGCAGCACGAAACCTAGGTTCAGTGTTTACTGTTGACTACCTCCAACCATTATTTTATTCTATAATTAGGTTTTATATTTCCTGGTAGATGTTATCTATCAATACAGACAATTATTGAGTACTAATAAATACAAAATCTAGATGAATAACTTTTTACAGATTCATTCAAGTTATTTAACAGTCGAATTTAATTTACTGATATACTATGTCATCCAACTTAGTGGTTGTTTTGCCATCATTAGTTTAACGAAACTTGACTTGAGCTCAGTAGATAGTAAACTTGTACAAGGAAGAATCTTCAGAATCTATAAAAATCCCAGTATGTAATATACAAGACTAATACTTTGGCATAATTAATTGTTTTGAATTTTCTAGACTAGTTTTAAATAGTTTGGGATTTTGTTTTTTTTTCCAAATGTCGTTGTTGGTGAAAGATTGATATGTTGGCGGCAATGTCAATTCAATAATTGGTTACTCTCTTTTTATATTGTTTTCTAATACAATTTAGTTCAACAATATAACATTTCTTTCTTAAATGTACCTTGTCAATAGAATGTCTATTTTGGAAAAAAATGTTACAATAGTGGAGATTCGTAGCACACATGGATGATTTTGATAAAGTTTTGTTCTTTGAACTGGATGGTTTAGTCGTGGAGCTTCAGGTGATGAGATGTCGTTTAGAAGAACAATAAACGCTCCACGACCAAGCCATTCATCTTAGAGAACAAAACTCCATCAAAAAGTTACAATCTTCTTATGTATAATAAAAATATTACCTCATTTCATTTATATGACAAATTTTATTTGACAACCCAGAGTAATTAATTAAAAGATACATTTAATTTGTAATTAATAGTTTGTATATTTTTATAGGAATGATTGTTTAATGTTTCTCTTTGGTATGGTCAGTTCTATAGACAAATTTAATAGACTTCCTTAAACAATATATCTACCAAAAAATAATTATTCACTAGACTTGTGTTTCATTGTGAACAAAATAATAATAATAATAATAATAATAATAATAATAATAGTAATAGTGTGGTGTGTGCTACGTATATTGACATAAGTAGTATATGATGTTAGTCGTGAACAGAAGGTCTGGCAGCAGATAGACAAGAAGATCGAACAGTAAAGAATGGAAACAGAATAGAATTTGTATGAAAATGCAAGAACAATGAAGTCTGAGTCATTTTGAGACAACTGGTGGACATTTTGCAAATTAAGCATTTACTTTATGATTGCTAGATTTTATTAACAAGTCCTGTAATTTCGTGTTAAACACATTCGGTTGTCCCCACTGGTGTTCTTGTTCACTACAATAGTAATAATAGTAATAATAGTAAAAGGAGCTTTTAGTATGATTAAGAAAACATAGCAATAATCCCTGGTTATTCAAATGTCTTAGGATATAATTATTAATGATTATCCAGTCAAAAAAATTATGAATATAAATCAAATAACTTTGTTACTGACACTTCTTAACGTAACGTTGGTTAAGTACTAACCTACCGATAGTGTAGCGGCTTTTCCGTAATAAAAACTAGAAAAAAAAGCACTACTGTTAGACAAATGAATCCACATATCCGACATCCGATTTCAGTCAGTTACTGATATTGTACTAGTTCATTTGTTCGATACTTTTCAGTAAGATAAAGTAAAAAAGAAAATAACTTTGAATATCAGACATGAATCATCTAAACCAGTCGTAGGTAACTGTAGTTAAGAGTGAGTTGTCAATCAATTTGTCTACCTAATAAATGAAAACAGAACATTTGATTTATTACTCTTTCTTAATACCGAAATAAATAATAAAATATTTTCTTCTATACGAACACGTAAATTCAGTGATTCATATACTGATATAGTAATAATCATGACGATATTCCAAGTGGTTCAGCTGTGACGTGGAACACTACTACAACCGTCAACAAGAAGGTACAAGTATGTGTAAATAGTTGTCTGCGCAAGATACTCAACATCCATTGGCAGGATACCATCAGCAAGAGCATTCTGTGGGAGACGAAAAACCAGCTTTCAGCTGAAGAGGAAGTTAAAAAAAACATGTTGGAAGTGGATAGGATATATATTGAAGAAATCACCAAACTGCATCACGAGACAAGTTCTAACTTGGAATCCTGAAGGGGAACGGAAAAGAGAAAGGTCGAAGAACACACTGCGTCGGGAATTGGAAGCAGACATCAGAAGATTGAATAGCAATTGGAAAAAACTGGTAAGGATCGCTCAGGATAAAGTTGGATGGAGAGTGCTGCTAGGTGGCCTATGCTCCTCCACGTGGAGTAACAGGCGTAAGTAAGTAAGCATACATATACATAAAATTTTATTCAATAATAAGATAATGACTTATGACTATTATCAACTTCATTTAAATTGTTGAAAATTAATGAATAATTTATTTAATACGATGATATTATTATTTGATAACGTTAATAAGAATAGATTGACCTTAGGAGAATCAGGGTTTAGTTTGTTATTCAAATAACTTCAAACTCAAATGAGTAGTTATTCAGTTAATAAAAGAACGCATGTTAATGAGATGGTGGAGATTTGTAGCTCAGGTGGATGATTTTGGTGAAGTATTGTTCTCTGAGCTGAATGGTTTAATCGTGGAGCTTTCATCGTTCTTCTGGTTGACATCATCAGCACAAACTTCAGATAGAAGTGAAGCGTTTCAAGTAGTTCCTCGGCTTTTCGATGTATTCTTCTTTGTCCATAATCACTGTGGTGCGTCCTTTGTCTGCTGGAACGATGACAATATCTTTTCTAGTTCTGAGTTCCTTTAAAGCTTTTTGTTCTTGTGAGGTTAGCTGGATGTTGTCCTTCATCCGCTGAGTTAGCGCCTCACTTCTATCTGAAGTTTGTGTTGATGATTTCGTTCAGAAGAACGATGAAAGCTCCACGACCAAACTATCTAGCTCAGAGAACAAAACTTCATGAAAAACACATGTTAAGCAATATCGTTAAGAATTTTAAACTTTTAATGAAAGAATAACTGAAATGTCATAGGTTATATTTAAGTTGATAAGTTAAAAAATAATAATAAATCACAAGTAGTCACTATGAGACATAGTTTACAAACAAAAATATTTTACAATTTTGGATAGTATGATCTTATTCCTATCATTCTTTAAACACTTTTTCGTTGTTGAACGTTTTCAGGTCAACGAAGTGTTGCAGTTTCTGAAGTCAGGGTTCCTGTCGATTTTTCTGTTAACTTTAGAATTTGAAATTAGCTTTCAAAGGGGTAAATATTTTAAAGAAATTTACTGGAATTTTTAAAGCACTATACAAATTAATCTCCGTTTATATAATGACTAATCATGACCACTCAACTTTGTTTCAAACTACCAATTAAATGATTCCGTTAAACTTGATCAGTGGTGATATTTTTGAAATAGTTTTGATCTAAGTGCATTGTGAAGGTGATATCCTATGATGTGAAGAAATATTTCTGATCTGGATCATATAGATTATTTCATTGAAAAGTATCAGAAAAACAAAGGATTTTCAAATAGCTTTATATAATCAGGTGAAAGGTGATTCAAACTTATTTATAGGATTAAACGAAATCTACATCTACTCTGTTGCTTGAAGATAAATCACTAGAACGAGCGGAAAATTTGCTTATTCTGATGTGTGTGAAGTTGCTTTTAGTGTGTAAAAAAGGAGTGCAATTTACATACTAAAATGCCAAACAACATATGTCAACCTGGGACCTCTTTTGTACTACTATGAATCTATTTTGTATGTTAATACTAAAGTTGACAAAATATTAGTGTAAAATCTTCCCAAAAACTGACATTAACTAACTGTTTAGTGTTTAGTTATCACTATTTTGCTGTATTAATAGCTCCATTTGGTGGTCAGATCATGTAATGAATATCTAGTATCCTAAGTTTAAAATGAAAAAAGAACTAATTTATGTATAATAATATAGTTTGAATGCGTATTAATTTTCTTACAAAATGTCTACTCACTTATTTTCAGAACATATTTCTACATGTTGAAATGGTTCTTCATCAGATCCTTCATATGCATATTCTAAAGGTGATTCATTATTTTTACAATTATCTTCATTATTATCATCATCATTTTCAGCGGCTTCTAAACGGGACTTGAGTAAATCACCAATATCTGTTCTACTTGTTGATGGCTCATTCATTTTTAATTGCATCTCTTCATGAATACATTGTAATGGTTCTTCTTTTATATGCATACCTGTAAATGAGGTTTTTCCAATCAAAAAGATTGTAAAATGATGATCTTTTTCAGTAATTATCTCTTGAAACTAATACCAATCTATACCGTGAGTTGTAAGTGTCTAAATCTTACCTGCAAAAAATAATAGTAACAATTGCCGTTTATACAAAATTATTTCTTATTCTCTTCATCATTGTATTATAAGATGAGTTTACCATAACAAAAAAAGATGATTTTCTTATTCTCTGTTTGAGAATTTATAAATTCAGTAGTAAAGAAATATCGGTATAGGATTGTGGAGATTATTAAGTTTTTGATTGAGATCATGAACCGATTAATGTTAGACCACCACAACCCTATACTGATAAATACAATCTACTCATTAGTGACTAGCTTTCTGAGAGAATTCTTGGAATTCTAGAAAGAAGCCGTGATAAGTGAAGCTAATCCATGTCAGGTAGAGACAGGCACAATGAAAGATGGACGCGCAATTACGTAGATTGGTTAACGTTAGACATTAACACCGTTGGATGCCGGCTAAGTGGTCTAGTAGCTTAAGCGTTCGCGCGACTGAGGGCCCTGGGTCTTAGTCGTTTGGGTGCAGGATCGTGGATGTGCACTGCTGAGGAGTCTCATAATAAGACGAAACGGCCGTTCAGTGCTTCCAGATTTTCAATAATGATCTAACATCAATCTGTTCATGATCTCAACCAAATAAAAAAAATAATTTGTCGGATAGTTTGTAGTCGATATATATAAAGCTTATTGTAGAGACCAATGATTTTGAGATTGTGAAGAAGATTTGTAGCTCAGGTGGATGATTTTGATGACTTCTACCTGAAGTTTGTGCTGATGATGTCAACCAAAAGAACGATGCGATCTGCACGACCAAACCATCAAGCTCAGACAACAAAACTCCATCAAAACCAATGTTTTTAAAAGCAATATCTCGGTGATAACAAAATCAAAGAATGTTTTTACTCTACAAGATTATATAAACTTGTGATGTTTTAATATGAACAGACATCACTCTCAAAACTGTTATGTTAGAATCAACTTTCCAATGAATTAAACACAACACTGACTTTGTATTAGTGAAAATTAAAGTCTAGACAACCTTGAATTTAAAGTTGTTTTTTCTCTTTTCTTTCAATTAGTCGTTAGAAGACGATAGTTATTATTATTATTTCACATTCCTGAACACTATATGGATCATTTAACTGAAGCGGATGCTAACAATTATGTAATATTTTATTGAAAACTCTTTCATTCATTCTATTAAACTTATTCATATAGGATGATATGTGTTTAAAATGAGAAAATTTCACCAATATAACAACCCGTTGTACACTGTCGTATTGAAAACCTCAGATTATTGATTAATTGCACACTAACAGAGGTAAAATAGTTCTTTAATACCGAGAGATGTCATCTGTTAGATAGTAGCGTTCGCGGGAGATCGATGGTCCTAGGTTCGAATCCCACGTGTGGGATCGTAGGTATGCACTATTGTCCATCCCGTTTTTCCAGGTTTTCAATGTTGGTTTAACATTGACTAGTTCACAAGTTCAATGAAATTTAATCATGTCTATAACCTTGAACAGAGAAAATAGCTTTAAGAGTTTGCTTCATTTTTTTACTTACTTTCATTAGCTTCGCTTCGAGGTTCTTTATTTATGATAGTCTTATCTAAATGTTATTCTATCGAAAAAAATATTCTGGTTTAACTTGAGTTTATCTCATCTCATATGGTTTAGCAAAAGTGAAAAATTTGTTATGGATTGAACAGAAAGGTATTCTTGAGAAATTATAATCCATGGGTTCAGATTTCTAGTAATGAAATAGCCTATCTAAGTTATTTTTTCTTGTAACCTTCAAGTATACATGTACTAATTTCGGTGATAATAATTTAACTGATGAAGTTTTGTTGTTACTCTGAACAACGATATTACCGATGTTTGATTATATTTCCTTGAAAAAGCTTAGGCCAGTTTTCCAGGCGAAATGTTGGATCTACTTCAAATTCATTTGCTGAGATTTTACAAATACATTCTTCCTCTTTAATGTCTCACATTGACCCGGCGCCCAAATACTGTGAAACTATTTGACCAAATTTAAACGAAGGTTCTTATCTGACGATATCAACGTAGAAATTATTCTGTTCGGTTATTCGAGTTCGTTCTGATTGCCTTGTTTGTGATTAGTTGTCTTTGAAAGTTTCTTCATCTCCATTTGTTCTTGTATTCCTGTTGGCCATCTTTTTCCGTTGACTTCTGGACATTCATTTGATTTACCTGATCCTTATCTTGTTTACAGATTGAATCTATCTCTATTTATTTTGAATACTATTCCTCTAGAATTTCTCTAGCTTGATTAAACTTTAACTAATTTGAACTGTGATATTTTCCCAATCGAATTTATGCAGATGGTTGTTCATGTACATTGATATCAATGGTAACATATAATGTCGCTTTGCTGCTAATCTATTTTCATATATAGGTAGGTGTAAAGTGTGGTGTATAATTTTGTGTGAAGTATTGTGATGTTAAATTTTATTGATAGTCAATACTGTTGTGTCGTTCATATGATTTAAAACGGAGAGAAAATTACTTTCAAATAGTTTCAATACCTTTATGATGCTTTTTTAAGATATTTTATACCTATTGTAGATGAATCATTTACTCATTAACGAAAAGAAACAATAAAAGCTTAGCAATCAAACTTGCTAGTTCATAGAACACAATTTCGCTAATGATATCTATCTGATTTCCAAATAGTCTACATATATCAGTATCCTTACAGTATTTATCGATTTTGAAAATGTATGTTCAATTTAATTTTTCAATATTATAGATCAGAAACAGATAGTATTCACTAATCTTAGAATTCAGCACTGAATGTTTATTAACATTGAATTATTATTCTTTTCAATCCTAACTGGATAGCATTACTGATCGCAGTCGGCCTTGTGTCTGTAATGAATCTTTCAAATGTCTGCCCCATCAGTTTGTTAGTAGGTGATTTCCTCATCGAGATGGTAACGGGTAACGGGCAATCGGGGTTCGATTCCGGTGATTGTTCATTGATTTTTTACGATCAGGACGTGTTCAGCTCGGTTCACTGGCTGCGCAACCTTTCATCTGTATCTGTGTTAAACAGATGTTGGTAGCTTGACGATTTTGTCTTATTCATCTATCTATATGATTTTGGATGCCTTAAAACAGATGTCGGGAGCGGACGGTATGTTTACTTTGAATAAATTTGAGTGCTCAAAGCAGGACTTTGCGCCTGAAAATTCTTTCATGGAATAATGATATAGGACTTCATTTCTATTTTGTTTGTTTTCAGGTCCGAAGTAATGGTTAAGATGGACAGACAAGGGCATTTTGTAAGGTGATGTTAGAGATAAAATTCTAGGATCACTGTCAGACAAACTACAGCGAAACCATTTGCCAAGAATGTTTTCATTGAACAGAAGCTAAAGTCAGAGTTTTGAAGATGATCAAATAACGTTAGTGTTAATCTCCAACTATTCTAATATGAAATATCAATACATTTATAAATGTATTAATTATTAAAAAACTACTGATTATCAACAAAATTAGTAGTAAAATAAAATACGTACTTATGATTTTTATAAAAAAAAGAAAAAAAGAAAACGTTTCATCTTTCATTATAAAAATTAAAATTGTAAAATTCTAGAATATTTTCGGCAATTCAATTGTATACTTAAATCATATGAATTATTCTTCTATTATTTACATTGTTAATTACGTTATATTGAGTTATCATTATATTTATGATGAAAGGGGGTATAATAAAATGTCATGTGAAATGTATGGGAATAGTTTGTTTTTGTTAGAATAGTAATAAATGTATTGAATTTGTTTTTTAACTGACGTTTTAACTTTAGTTACCGTCTTAACTGAATTTTGGTGATTTGATTTTTTTTCTTGTTTGACAGTTAAAAGTTTCTTTAGTTGAAAGATTTCTATTATATGATTGAAATTCTCCAGTTAATAATGATAGAAGAGTATAAAATACTGTAGATATACAATCTACTAATAATATATTCCAGTAGTTGAATTCATGAGTCAACTGGAGCTGGGCCAGCATGGAGAACCTGGAAGCAGTGGGCAACCGTCTCGTCCTAGTATGGGACTCCTCACAGTGTGCATCCACGATCCTGCCCCTCACGAGATTCCAACTTAGGACCTATCAGTCTCGTGCGCGAGCGCTTAACAGTTAAACCACTGAGCCGGTATCCAACCGTGTTAATGTATAACTTCAACTAATCCACTAAAATTGCGCAACCGTGGATGCGCATGGCTTAGGAGTCCCATACTAGAACGAAACGGTCTTCCAGTACTTCCAGGTTTTCATGGCTTTCTGGCTTCAGCTGACTCATGATTTTAACTATTGAAATTTCCAAAAACTGCACAAAACCCCTTCTGATAATAATATATTCCTTCAATCAGAAAAACAATCATGGACCGATCAAAGTTCGACAACGATTACGGACGTAGAAATAATGAACAGTTGATTTGTACTAATATGAAACTCTTTAGAATTTCATACACAGTTATTTGAACCAGAACTTGTGATCACGTGAGTGAACGTTCAACCTTTAGACCATTGAACTGAAATCTAATTATGTACAAGTTTTACTTCAATTAATCCATGACATTGAGTGACAAACTTCGTTTCATGATTTTAATAAAGCTTAATGATCTCCACAACTCCATATGGATAAGTATTCACACTTTTTAGAATGTTGGTTTTATGAAAACATGACTGGTTTACAGCGATGGGTAATCAACCAACTGTTAATAGCTAAGCCTTAACGGATATCGGTTAGTAGCATTTCAAAGAGCTGATTCGGAAAGTCACAGCTTGTATAGCTGTGTTTCAGTTCACAGGGGAGCATCAGTTCTATCATCATTACAGATACACCTTGCTGACTAGTGCCAACTAGCGGGCAACATAAGTTTAGGGTTAGAAGTTCACTACCTCCAACCATTTGACGTCTTATATATACAAAAAATTTATAAGAATAAAATTATCAATATTCTAACTGTCACATTACATAATCAAGCAACAAATACCCAATAAAAATACCATCTTACAATATAAAAATACCATCAATAAATGTAACTTACTATGTGGACTAGCTGGATAAAAATGTGAATCGATTGGAGGCAATTGTGGAAAAGTTTGAGAATGTTTACTTTGGCCACAAAGGATGTGATGTGACACTAAACAGAGGATGACTGTAAGTTTTAAGAAATGAAATTTATGGAAACACTTGAATAAATGACATATTGATATCGCGCTACATTGAATAAAAGTTTGACAAACGTGAAATTATATCATTCGTGTTTTTGTATTAATCGTTTGAATCTTTCCATTGATGTTTAGCACTGCAAGCAAGCAGCCTCTAATTGGCATCCTGTGTTGGTGCCTCGAGATTGCCTAAAGTTACAAGCTTTTCCTAAAAAAGATGGATGGTGGCTGGAAGTGGTACCCAGGACTCGCGTTTCGTCCTACGTAGGACTCGTCAGCTGGATGTGCCTGCACTCCAGAAATGATGATCACTCTGGGACCGGGACTCACTATCGTTCGCTTCAAGCGCCATCATGTTATTCACTTAGCTACTGAGTCTTGATAATCACTGATCAATTGTAGCCATAAACATCAATGGAAAGATTCAGACGACAAATACAAAAAGAGGGGTTAAAACTTCACCCCGTTACATAAGCCAGTGGCTATGTGGACCCAGTAGCTTAGTGGATAAATTGATGGCGTTTGGAGCGAACCTCAAATCCAGGGTTCAGACACATCTAACTGACGAGTCTCAAGTGGGACGAAATGCGCATCCTTGATTCCATATCCAACTACTATACATCTTTGCTCATAAAATAATATTCTTCATGCAGCTTATCATGCTCGTTTACATAAAATAGATTTTTTACACAGTGAATCGGAACATTAATTCAAAGTCTAAATACTGAAAGTTTTTAAGAGTATCTAGATTACTCTACTAAAAGTGAAGGTAATTTTCAGATGTAAATGTTTTATTAGCATGGAAGGTTCATGAAGATTGTGAAATTTTCACAGCTTTGATCATGAAATGATCTAAGGTAAACCATCGTTGAAAACGTAACACCATTGAAAAGCCATTTAGTACTAGTATGTGAATCCTCAATAGAGAATATTTACGACCCCGGCTCAGTAAATCAAGCCCATTACCTTCAATCTCTCATGCGAACCATTAATCTCTAGACCATTCAAGCAGCATCCAATAGTGTTAATGTCCAACTTCAAACAATTTGCAACATTGTGCAACTCCTATCTCTTTACTATAGTGAATAACTCTTACACCCAACTTGGATTGAATTCTACTGGTCACAGTATCTCTCTAGAATTCCAGAAGATGCATCGTGGAGTCTTTCTTTTAATTTATTATCAATAATGTAAAACGTCATTTTTAAGACAAACTGACATGAACTGAGAGAAAAATCACTTAAAATCAGGGAACAATAAACAAATAATTCAGTCTAATTTGAGATTAATCATTAGTAAACATCAGTAAGTTTAGATCACTAGATCATGATTTAGTCATTCATATATGTAAGCAAATTACAAAGTTATATTATCAGTGTAACATATTTTATTTCAGATTAACTAATAATAATAATAATAATAATAAAATTATTAGTTATTCTTTTTCATATAAATGTTGAATCTTCTTGACCTGATTTCAACCGAACGGAAGTAATTAATCTGTTTGTTTCAGCGTAATAATATTTATAAATTGAATGTGTAAACGCCTATGTTTCAGTCAGTCATTTACAACTGCCGAACAGTATACTTGTCCCTTAACTGATAGATGGATATCACTTCTTTGTTTAATCTTATTGATATGAAGTTTTTTATTTATTTAGTTCCAATCATTAATGTAACTTAAAACTTTTATACATTTTCAACTGGGTAAGTACTAGGTAGTTGACTCGACAGTCATAAATAAATAAAAAAGATTAGTTCAGCGAAGAGTTCTTTTTTCGATGAATTCATTTTAAAAGCTGTAAAATCGCAAGTATATATACTTATTCTTAAAGGATGATAATGATATTGATAATAAACTTCTGTTAGTCATGGTGACAGTGAGTTAAAATAAACATAGGTATTAAAAACCTTTTTTTTAAACAAGGAAAGCTCAATAATCGTTTGATTAGTAATGTCTTAAATATTCATCAAAAGATAGATAGGGAAATAATCATTGGAACAGGATGGCTCACCATGATAAGATAAAATGTTGAAATAGAGATTAAATGTAATTAGGAGGATCGTGGAAACAGAAATTAACCAGTTAGGGATAGAAGATTTAAGGGGAAGATGAAAGGTGAAGCATATGTTTGTAAAGGAAGAAGAGTATGAAGAAAGGAAGGAAAGGGAGAAAAAAATATAGGACATTATGACCATGGTAGAAGAAGAGGTTGTACCAATCTTTTTTGCACACACAATTCTGTTTTTTCCAGGTGTATGGCCATTGCTTAGACAATGCAAAGAAGATGCAATCTAATTGCCTTTGAAGACTTCTACTTATATTGTGGATGACTTTGAACGCAGTCTGTCTTGATTGAGTGGCCTGTGTTCACAGTGTCTTTTCCTCCTCTTCTTAGCCATGCCGGATAATGTTGTTGAGTTCTTTTGGATAAAGTACGCATTGAACGACCTATATACTTAGCTCCACATGAAAAGGTAAATTGGTAAATGCAC